TTTGGTGTTTTCAAGGCAGGTAAGGGGTTGGGAGTAAACTTTTACTTTTTCAGATTTCTTTTTAAAAATCACCCATGTATGCCCTAAGACTCTAAAAAATAAAACCAAGAATATTGAGGTATATATTCATGAGTTCATTCACTTAATATCTGGGGGCCCAGTATGTGCCAAGTGTTCTTACAGACCTGGGAGGTAAAATGGTGAAAAAGACAGATGAGGTCTCTGCCCTCTGGAAGTGACCATTTCAGATTGGAAAAAGGGTTCTGGTGTGATCTAGAACAAAGGGGACAGGACACTTTAGGTTGAAGGATCTGAACATCTTTCCGACAGCCTCTGTGAGCAGATGGTATTTACACCAGAATGAATGGAAGGAAACAGCTGTGGGAGGTGTATGCCAGGCAGAGTGGAGTACAGAGACACTATGGTAACAGCAAGCTTGGTATGTTGAAGGAAGAGGAAGTGTATTGCACAGAGGGACAAGTCTATTACAGAAGAAGATAATCAAGTGAATTGTTAATACTTGGCGCAGGACAAATGGCCTTTACAAAGCTTGAGTCAGTGCATCTTTAGAGTGCACTTCATGTTGATTCTTTTGTATAATTTGTGCCCCAAATTTTAGCCCTTGTTTTAGTATTATATTATTCTTGCTGGAAAGTACTGAAATGTTTAGAGAATATTTTTACAGCCCTTTTAAGGACAGATACATATTTCTCATTTTATTTTTCCCTGAATTGAGAGGTATTTATGTATTTCTTTTTAAGATTTTTCCTTCCAGGACATTTTTGTAGCCTTGGCCTTTACAAAATAGAGCAAGCACAAGTTCCATTTCCACAAAGTTTAAAATAGACAAATATTTCTATGAGAGCCGTTATAAAAAATATCAGGCATCCCTCACCCTCCATGTAACCATTTTCAGTTCTTAATAGTCATTCTGATATTTACTTCCACATTTCTAAACATGCCTATATTATTTATGACTTTCTAATTGTTTAGTTTTTGGCATTTTAGTTTCTTGTTTCAGGAGGTACCCCCTCTTCCCAGCCTAACCCTCACACATACCCATCCTGTTCCCCCATCCTCACTATGGGGTTGTGTTGTAATTTTCAGATTAGTATTTGTTTTGACTGTGTAAAAGGTATCCCCAGCTAAGTCATGTAGCTTCCTATAACTACTTTTCATTTCTTTTCCAACTCTTTGTTTTCCTTGGATTTACTGTTTTGTTTACTCA